CGCCCACAACACAACGTTTAACCATCATAAATGTTTGTTGTGAAAACAACTTCTAAAAATTCGCTCTCTCAAAAATAAAATTAAACAGACAAAAGATACGCCGATTAAAAAATGTATATCGTTTAAAAGTACAGTTGTACGTTGAATGACACAGTGATATAAAAGTACGGCTCAGGGGTATGGCTTCCTCTCATATTTTTGCATTTGGTGGCGCACTTTTCGGCGAGAGTCGGAAATCCGGAAACAGTCGACCGTTTCAGGATAGGTGGGCGTGGCTACAGCACGGGAAATATCTCAAATTTACTTGGATACGAGTAATCATTTTCAGCAAAAAAATCAATAATTGCCCATTTCAGTGGGGCACAGATCTAAAATGAGAAGCGTGTGAGTGGGCATTGCACAGGCACTTTAAATAAAAAAAATGTTATGGCCAAAATTCTGGTGTAAAATTTTGCACATTTTATTGAATATTTCAGGCCCACCACATCTATTTAAAAAAAATATTCATGTTCAGGCCCACTCCATATTTTTTATAAAATTATTCATTTTCAGGCGCATTTCATGCTGAGCTAGTACCAACTTCATAAATGCCTCTTTTTATGATGTTCACATTTCTCAAATATTTTCTGTGGATGTGCCTTGGTGGCTTCACTCCGATTTGTTCATTCTCTATTTTTAAGCGAATATTTTTTGGTAATAACAAACAAACTACAGCGTGATTGCTTTGATACTTGATATGTAGGTACCGTGTCTGTTTCATGAGCTACCAGTCCATTTCCTATGATTAAGGGCCCATTATTGCTATCTAATTATAAATTTGATGAATCATCAGATATGTCGGCAAAGCTGTCTTGACCAATAGGTCACCTTGTATTTTTCACAAAATTACTCATCTTCGGGCCCCAGGGTGGTTACTTGAATATTTATAGTAATAAATTTGTCATCGACACAGGTTCATGTTTTTTTTTTACAGAGTTAATCAAACATAACGGTTAATTTGTTTTTGTTTCTGTTTCAGCAAAATTCCAGCGTTTTTGAAAGTTGTTGACATTGCTGGTTTAGTGAAGGGAGCACACGAGGGTCAAGGACTCGGTAACGCTTTTCTTTCGAATATCAAGGCATGTGACGCCATCTTTCATATGACGAGTAAGTGAATGAACTTTCATCTTTTGAACTCATGAATGTTTCTGCTGCTTTAATTTTTGGAAAACGTATTATAGGAATTTGTTTAGGAATATTCATACGATCATGTCAAATTGTTTATGATTATGTGTAACACAATATTACATACATATGCTATGGTTATAATAAAACACTTTGAACTCCCGCAATAAATATTGCCCAGAAATCATTTTTTTGTAGCTATTTGTCAGCCATTCATGTTGCGTGAATTTTAATGTTCTTGGTAAAACTTTTTTTTTCTCGTGAAGGGGCATTTGACGATGATGAAGTCACGCATATTGAAGGCGATATCAATCCAGTCAGAGACATGGAAATTATTTTTGACGAACTGCGCTTGAAAGATATCGAGTACTTGCAAGATCGGATAGCAGACTTGGAGAAAAAAGTTTTACGTGGCGCTGATAAGGCAAAGAAGCCTGAATATGTAAGTGTACATGTGTTGTTGTTGAGTGGTTTGTTTCAAATAATGAGTTTTTCTAGTATATTTTTGTCATAGTCTCAAAAGCCTTAAAAAGGTCTCCAGCCAATTTTTGGTAAAAACAAACCAACAAACAAACTGCAGCCTTAATTGCTTTGATACTTGATATGTAGGTACCGTGTCTGTTTCATCATGGAGGTAAGATATCTGTCTTTTACCTCCATGGTTTCATGAACTACCATTCATTTGCATATTATTAATGATATCAAATTATAACTTTTGTGAATGATCAGATGTGTCATGTGAAAATGTCAAAAAATATTAGAAATTTGCTGATAAGTTCTTAAAAAACTGGGAAAACAAAAATTTCTTCAATTAATAATTGCCAATTTAAAACTAAGTTGTGCTAAATTTTTATACTCTGGATGGTTGTCATAGTGATTTTTCTAGATGGCACCTACTGTCCGCAAACTAGGATGACAAGTACTGTTTGCATACTAAGATGACACGTTCACTTTTTAGGAATGTTTACTGAAAATCAGGACTATATTAGAAGAAGAAAAGAAACCGATTCGGTTTGCTGACTGGACTGGTAATGAGGTATGTATGCTGGCTTGTATTAAAGGGCTGATAAACAAGGGCCCACATATACCAAGATGATGTAATTAGTTTCAGAGTACTCTAGGCAAGTTCTCTGGAATGTGTGATTTGTTAAAATCTTTTTTTATATTTTCTTTGTCATGACACACGCTAATATGTCTCTCTGTCAGTTGACAACATTAAACTAAATATAAAATATTAAACTGGCAGCCAGTTCCACTGATAACTCAAGATCTGCAATTTCAATTCAAATGAAATTTGGCACACAGCTAATATATGATGTGTAGATGCGCTGATTAGATTTTGGTGCAATTCCATGCATATTAAGTAGTCAATTATTGCATTAATTAGTCCCCGGACGC